CCTATTTGGCAAAATCCTCCATTTTATTCAGAGCGGCATCTTGTCATCTTAAGTTGACGGTGGCGCCTGGAGGGTTAAAAACGACTCGATTGATCATTTCATTCTACCAAAACTGTAAACAATACAACACGCCATTTTACCATCGCCCACACTGTCCTGTTGTAAAGTACAGGCCTCAATCACATGACCAACAGTGTGAAAAGAACCGTCTGCAGCAGCACTTTTAAACTCACAGCCCAGTGCCCTCCAATAGCCCCGCATTCAAAACAATACACGCCAGTACAATCCAATAGGCCCCATAGACTCCCACAGACCCTGGATCCTTCTCGCCGGGCCGTGTACACTACAGCTTTGACCCTGAACTTCAAACCAACCAGATCCAGAAATTTGTGGACTTTTCTTGGACATTTCCCGGACACAAATGCGCCCCAGGTTAGATAAGTATCTGTTTACAAAGAGAGAGCGGTGACTAGAGTAAAGGCAGTTCAGAGCGAGACAGAATATTTTAGATTTCGTAGTTTGTTAGTTTGACAGAATTGAAAAAGGTTTGGCGATGTCCTTCTTCTTGACCGTGCTGGATAAGCTCGCGTACTTCCTCTCACTGATCGCGTTTTGTGTGACTGTTTCGTACAATTGGGTGAAATGAAATTCTGTAGAGGAGATTTTTCAAGTTGGACAATGCAAAACGGATTATGTTAACAAGTAAGTTGGTAAAAATTGTTATTCAGAATTAAAATTTGAAGCGTTAATTTGCAAAAAACAGATAAGTCATTTTAAAAAGTAATTGGAGTCTTGCGTTTTACTCTTTGTGTCGTAATGTTTTTGTTTTTGAAAGTTGTCTGTAGAAAAGAAATGACTTTTTTTTGATAGTTTTTCAAAATGAGGATCTGTTTTTGCAGTTCAGTAATTTTAATCCGTGTGTCATTCGTTTATTCGTTTTTCAATATAAAACCAAAAATAAGAACATGAAAAAACAACAATTTTCTTTATTATTTGTCTCCAAAACTAAAATAAAAAAAACAGATTACGATTCGTTTTTTCAGTTTTCGATTTTGTGTTTAAATGAAGAATGGAAAAAATGTATAACAGTCTGAACCTGGACTAAAACAGGACTAAACCAGGACTAAACAGAACTGGTCTGGTCCTGGTCTCAGTCCTGGTCCTGTTCTCGGTCTCAGTCTTGGTCTCAGTCCTGGTCCTGTTCCCAGTCTCAGTCCGGGTTTCAGTCCCGGTCCCGGTCCCGGTCCTGGTTTAATCCTGATTCAGTCCGTTTTTTACATTCTTCATTTAAACATTTTGGTTTTGGAGACAAATAATGAAGAAAATAGTTGTTTTTGTCGTTTTTTTATTTTTGGTTTTATATTGAAATACGAATGAACGAATGAAACACGGAATAATTTTCTGTCTATGTCTTCTGTTTGTGTCTATAATGTCGTACAATGGTCTGAAATTAAAATATTTGTAAGATAGTCCAACTTCCCTGGGTATAGAAAATTATTTTTTAAGTTGAATTGTTTTGTTGTTTTGTTTGTAATTTAACAAGAAGATTGAAATATGTAAATTTAGGGCAGTAATGAAGTGAATGCAGGACAGTCCCACGGTCTTAAGGGCCCAGAATCGAACCATCTTCCTATTAATTTATATTACAGGGGAACCCATGTGAAGCTTTTGACCCCGGGCCCTCAAATTTCTGTCGACGGACCTGTGTGAATGTAACTTAATGTATATTTGTGTGCCTACAAACTAGAAAGTTGGAGATTCAAACTCTGCTGACTTTATAGTGCTGTATTGCCCTTGAGCAAGGCAGTTTACAGTCTCTGCTTGTATAAAAGTACCTAGCGTGATATTGTTTAAGATAGTGTTGCTATTTAAGAAATCACTGAGTCGAAATTGCTATTTGACTGGACGAAATTAGCAAATCACTAAGGCCACAGTTATTTAAGTAACAATTTCCTCCACAAACAACAAAATCTCCTGTTTTATTCTGTGTAAAAACTGCTAACCCAATAGAGGAAACCATCTGACCTCGCAGCATTAGGATTCATTCGGTCGACGGTAGGAGGGTACTTTTTAATTTAACCAATCGCTGCTGTTTGGTCGTGACGTATGTAACGCGATGCTTTTCCTAAATTCGTAGGAAAAGAGGCAATAACGTCTTTCCCCTTGATAAAATTCACCAAACATTCTCTTTGTTCTGGCTTTAAATCCTCGATCTCGGAATCGTTGGCGAACACAGAATGTCTGTCTCTTCGCTGATTGGCTGGTGCCTGAACTCGCACTTCCGGGGTTTTTGCGAACCATCTAGTGCAGGGGTGTCCCAACTTTTTTTCATCAAGGGTCACATATCTAAGCACAGATGAAGCAGACAGCTGATTGAGGGCCATAGACTGATGCTCAGTACAGTGAATAATTGAAATGTGTGTATGTTTAACACGTTAGAATGAACCATCAGTCTTTATTCATGCTAAGATCCTTAAAACCACACACTAAATATTCAATATTCGCTTTATCAAGGTAGATTTTCAAAAAACTTGCAGTAAAAAGTTCATTTTAATTGATGGAAGGTAATTTGGGTCAATTCATCTGGAAGCCTGAGGGCCAAGGAAAATTTGTCCGAGGGCCACATTTGGCCCACGGGCCATAGTTTGGACATGCCTGATCTAGTGTATTCTGATTCCTGACCTAGTCGCTGTAGAGAAATTAAATATTTTAGATCTGTACAAACAGGTTCTGAAATGTGATTCTTGTCTCAGTTTGTCAGTTCACGTTTCTCGGCTTCAGTTCACCAGCTTCAGGACGTTTGTGGCTACAGAGATGATTTTAAAGTTGAGAACGTGGAAAGAAAGGTGGAAATGGACACTGGACACATTAATTTCTTTTTTTAGAGGGTGAATAAAGTACTTTCAGACTGTTTTTGTCGATCTCCTGCAAATTGTACTTGGACAGATCTTCAATTTGTGGGTGTGAAGTTCATTTTATGCACTTTTTTGTCCTCCTTTAGATCATTTCTTATTTAGAACTACAGTGGAAATAAGATAGTCCACTTTTAGACCCAGTTTAGCCCTAGATTAGACCTGGAATAGTCCTTTTAGGGACCTGGTTTAGATCTTGTAGTACTCAGAAAGCGAGATCTTTTTTCTTTCTTCAAATCAGACAAAGATGTGTATTTGTTTTTCTATTTTCTTCTGCAGGTGTGAGTGAGCAGCAGTGACAGAATGCAGAGGTGGGCCCATGTTGTAGCTCTGGTCCTTCTGGTCTCAGCGAGCGAAGACTTCGACTGGACCAAGAACCAGAGAACCTCCTTTTACTACGGCACTTTCCCACCTGGTGAGTACAGACACAGAAAAAGTACAACTGAGTCATAAGAGGTGAGGAGAAGTCAGCGACAAAGAGCTGTACTTTTGCGTGTTCTTAATGCTTTATACTTTTATATAGAGCACATTGTTATGCATTAAAGTGCATTATTCCTTCACTCCACATGCAGCAGTGGTAAGATATTTCTGTAGTCAAGGCCAATCTTCACCATCGGCCTCTCTGACCTCCACAAACTCTCACACACACACGCCAAATTAACAGTACAGATAATAAATGAAGGTTTGTAACTCTTCTTTTCTGGTGAGTGTTTGCCACCTTCTTCTCTTGAGATATCGCTTTATATTTTGCTTATATTTATTAATGAATGAAATGTAGGGTAATAAGTTACAGGACTTCAACTAACAATTATTTTGCTAAAGGATTAATCTAGTGACTATTCTTTCAATCAACCAATTAGTTGTTTAAACAGCAAAAGACCTGTGAATATGAGACTTTAATAAATTGTCCCCAAATAAACCTGAAGTGAAGCTGCCTGAGAACTTCCCAGTAGAACTTCCCAGTAGAACTTCCCAGTAGAACTTCCCAGTAGATCCCAGTAGAACATCACAACAAAACATTCCAGTAGAACATATCAGTAGAACTTCCCAAAAGAACATCCTAGAAGAGCCCAGTAGATCATCCCAGTAGAACATCCCAGTTGAACATTCCAAGTAAATCCCAGTAGAACATCTCAGTAGAACATCCCAGAAGAACATCCCAGTAGAACTTCCCAGTAGAACATATTTACAGACAAACAAGTGTTTTTATTAAGAAAAAAAATAAAAAATTCACATTACCTGTGTCACTTGTTTGTAATTCCTTCTCTGTCTAAGTCACAGGTGTCAAACATAAGGCCCGGGGGCCAGATCCGGCCCTCCAAGACCTTTAATGTGGCCCTTGGGTGATTTTCTACTAAAATATTTTAATTATATTTTCTATTAAAATATTGTTAATTTTCTGCGGTGCTCAGCATAGCAGCGTCTCTAGTGTCTCTGTACGTGGCCCCTCCCACCAGAGCAGCACACATGAAGACTTGTCTCTTTCCAAACGCTCTTAAAGGACGATCGTTTTGACTGTTGACCGTGACACCCTCATCAACAAAATGTCCAAAATGAGAAAAGTGGAGCCGAGTGCAGGATTTTCCAAGATAAATGGACTTATTCTTATTTACATACAAGTTCATGTTAAAACATTGTGTTGAAATTGAATTTTTCTTAAAGTTTGAGGTTGTTCATAATATTATAATATTTTGTAAAAGAAAGAGTTCATCAATTAAAAAAGATTTCTGTAATAGATTTGTGTTTCTCTGCACAAATATTTGAACTTATTGTTATTTTTGGGGTTTATATGACATGAGTTTTCTGATCCGGCCCCTTTGGGATTAAAGTAGGTTGGATACGGCCCCCGGACCAAAATAAGTTTGACACCCCTGGTCTAAGTCATAAAACTCTTCTCTCAGCTCATCAAGTTTTGAAGGCTTCGTATGAATCAGTTCACAATTATTCAATTACTAAAATAGTTGACAACTATCTAACTAAGTCCTAAGCCTTAATAATAATAAATTGTCTTTAAATCCGTCCCGTGTGTGTAGGTTTCTCGTGGGGTGCTGCCAGCTCGGCCTATCAGACTGAAGGAGCCTGGAACATCGACGGGAAAGGCCTGAGCATCTGGGACGCCTTCGCTCACAAGACAGGAAAGATCTTCTCCAACGCCACGGGAGACTCCTCCTGTGAGGGCTACTACAAGTTTAAAGTAATCACTATAATTGTACCATGACCTCTAGGACTGTCAAAAAAACAGATGCAGTTAAGTTTATTTTCTTACAGGACGACGTTGGTTTGATGAAGGACATGAAGCTGAACCATTATCGTTTCTCTATCTCCTGGCCACGGATTTTACCAAACGGACTGAAAAGTAAGACTCTTCTCACTATTGTGTAACAAAAGAACAACATTCCAAGTTATTTTTGAGCAATAAAACACCTGTAGTGGAAAAAATAAATGTTAGATTGAAGTTTAATGCCAAATTGTGGAACATATCAGGCAAAACATTTCCAATACTAATCCTAGTCACAATATTTATCAGAAAAAAATAACTAATTTAATTTGTCCCCTAAGATGTACTCTCCAGTTGCTATTTAACATTTTGTACTTTCAGATGAACAGATCAATGAAAAAGGACTCAAATACTATGACGACCTGATAAATATGCTACTGGAGAATAAGATCACTCCTGTAGTCACTCTGTACCACTGGGATCTGCCACAGGTACAATATATATATGTCTTACATTTTTAAAGCAGCCACTAGAGGGCACTTTATTCATGCATTTTTGATGATTTTTTTATTTTTATTTTGTTTTATTAGCTGCTCCAGGAGAGGTACGGGGGATGGCAGAACGGCAGCATGATCAACTACTTCAACGACTTTGCAAATCTGTGTTTTGAGAAGTTTGGAAACAAAGTGAAGTACTGGATCACGTTTAATAATCCATGGGTGAGTTGGACAGGTAATAAAAGTGGGTATAAAATCAGATGGTAGATCTTTTTTACATTTATATATCACAGGATTACATTATAACCCCAGAAGCAAAAAAAAAAAAAAAAAAAAAACTGTCAAAATTAAGTTGTAACCTATGATTCTGTAGCAGAGGTGGGACCAAGTTGTTGTTTTGCAAGTCTCAGGTCTCTGACCTCAAGTCCCAGTCAAGTCCCAAGTCAAGTACAGGCAAATCCAAGTCTTTAAACCAAAGTATAGCTTAGATTTTTGCAATTTATATGACTTTTAAACTAAATTGTGCTCAAAAAGTCATTGTATATTTATATACGAGTATTTATAAAAGTTGTAGAAATGCTAGTTTTCCATTTTAAATGTGACAAGATCTTAGTGTGAATTATTATTGAGATTTTATTGATATTATTATTATGAGATTTTATTGATATTATTATTAAGAATTAGGATTTTTTTGTGCTAAATAACAGTTATTTTATCATGTAGTCAGCACTGAAATAGAAAAATCATGTTCTATGTAGTTCCCTCTGTTTACTGCATTATTGTACTGCATATTATTGTAATACATTTAAGGACACCATCTCACAGTACTTCAGTTACAACCAAACTAATAAACAGAGAAGTGGAGGGACATGTTCCTGTTTGTTCCTGTAAAATTCAGCACCGCATTTATCAACTGTAAAGAGAAAAGTATTTTCTAAAAACATATTATTTCAGGAGACGCATCTCAAGTCTTCTCGAGTCAAGTCCGAGTCAAGTCCAAAGTCACTGACCTTCAAGTCCAACGTCGAGTCCCAAGTCTTAGTCCATTTTATCAAGTCTCAAGTCCTAAAAATAGTGACTCAAGTCTGACTGTTGTGTAGTACCAAAAAGTCAACACTGTTCCACACACTATGGCATTACACATATCTGTCTTGCAACTTGCAGTTAACTTTTCTGACAAATGAGTCATTATATCATTTTTTAAAAATTTAAATATAACTGTCTTTATATTTTCTTTAAACTGTGTCTCAGAAATGTATTATTATTAATAGGGATGCAACAATAACCGAAATATCGTGATATCGTATCGTCAAAGTTCTCGAATTACAAGTCTCTTTGTTTAAATTAAGAGTTATGGTGCAGCAAAAGCTAAAAAAAGACAGAGAGAACTACATAGACCATGATCCTTTGCTTCATTTCAGTGCAGACTACAAGAAGACAGAAACAGTTCTAAACAGTTCTTTGGATTAAGTCTTGTCAAGGCATTTTAAGAGGAAAAAGTTGCATATTAACAGTTTTGTCAGCCTCCACAAAATAAATATTGAAATAAATATTGTACCATGAGATGTACATTGTGAAAATATCGTGCCGAGAGATTTGGATATTGTTACATCCTAATCATGAGCCTCCCCATGATATCGCAATAAATATCGTACTGTGAGGTTCATACCGTGACAATGTCGTATCGTGAGACTTGGATATCGTTACACCCCTAATTATTATAATTATTTTTAACAAAATTATATATGCTGGACCCTTTTGTGTTGTAGTCCATTGCCGTGGAAGGATATGAGACGGGTGAACACGCTCCAGGGCTGAAGCTGAGAGGAGTCGGCGCGTACAAGGCTGCGCATAACATCATAAAGGTGAAGTTTATACGACAAAATTTTTTAAGGCTTTTGCAAATGTACATTAGTCAAGTTATGTATTATTTAAAACGACTGCTTCCTCCAGGCTCACGCTAAAGTCTGGCACACCTACGACACACAGTGGAGAAGCAAACAGAAAGGTATCCACTTTTTACTCTGCTTTTTTACACACCAATAATGAATACAGATGAGAACAGCTAAAATTAATATTGTTAAAAATGAGGTTTTTAGTGCTACAAACAATAATACAGTGAGTTCTTGGGTCTAGTCATGAAAAGAAATGATCAGATTCAACATTTACCTTTTGGATATTTCATAGGAAAGTACAGAACAGAAACTGGAGGGTAAAATATTTCAGAGTTGTTATTAACGCAAAAAGTGTTATTTTAAGTATTTGAAAGTTAAATGGGGGTTTGAGTTGGGTTTATTTGCCAGAGCTGATATGGTTAAGGTTAATTCAACTTCCTCTAGTGTTAATTCAACTTCCCTTAGTGTTAATTCAACGTCCTCTAGTGTTAATTCAACTTCCTCTAGTGTTAATTCAACTTCCTTTAGTGTTAATTCAACGTCCTCTAGTGTTAATTCAACTTCCCCTAGTGTTAATTCAACTTCCCCTAGTGTTAATTCAACTTCCCCTAGTGTTAATTCAACTTCCTTTAGTGTTAATTCAACGTCCTCTAGTGTTAATTCAACTTCCTCTAGTGTTAATTCAACTTCCTCTAGTGTTAATTCAACGTCCTCTAGTGTTAATTCAACTTCCTCTAGTGTCAATTCAACTTCCCCTAGTGTTAATTCAGCTTCCCTGAGTGTTAATTCAGCTTCCTCTAGTGTTAATTCAACTTCCTCTAGTGTTAATTCAACGTCCTCTAGTGTTAATTCAACTTCCTCTAGTGTCAATTCAACTTCCCCTAGTGTTAATTCAACTTCCCTGAGTGTTAATTCAGCTTCCCCTAGTGTTAATTCAACTTCCTCTAGTGTTAATTCAACTTCCTCTAGTGTCAATTCAACTTCCCCTAGTGTTAATTCAGCTTCCCTGAGTGTTAATTCAATTCAGCTTCCTCTAGTGTTAATTCAACTTCCCCTAGTGTTAATTCAACTTCCTCTAGTGTTAATTCAACTTCCTCTAGTGTTAATTCAACTTCCTCTAGTGTCAATTCAACTTCCCCTAGTGTTAATTCAGTGTTAATTCAACTTCCCTTAGTGTTAATTCAACTTCCTCTAGTGTTAATTCATCTTCCCCTAGTGTTAATTCAACTTCCTCTAGTGTTAATTCAACGTCCTTTGGTGTTAATTCAACGTCCTTTGGTGTTAATTCAACTTCCTCTAGTGTTAATTCAACTTCCTCTAGTGTTAATTCAACTTCCTTTAGTGTTAATTCATCTTCCTCTAGTGTTAATTTGGCTCCTCCCACCCACCACTTCAAACTCTCCTGAGAGAAGACCAATCTGAACCAGTTTTGTACATAATTTCATCTTAAATTAACTAAAATAGTCTAAAAATAAAACACCTCTGTGTGTTGTTTAGCTAAATCAGGATAACTGTACAAAGTGTTATCTGTTTACTCTCAAAACGTTATATAAATATAACTCTTGATTTCGGGGTTAAACAGGAACTTTGGTCCAGTGTTACTTAATTAATATTTCCAAAAATATTAAATTAACCCTAGAACAGATTGGACTCCCTGTTAAAATGTTAAAATTGATTCTGTGAGAGTCAATTTTAGCACTCCACTTTTTGCTGCGTAATATCTAATTAATAATGTAATTAAAACTACCAATATTTTGGAGTTTTAGATTAACAGTTAACAAGAGATTAGACAAAATACAACAAAACTTGGATAGAGCAAAACTGCAGCAGGAAAAAATTATAAATAGACAAAAGACATAAGACATTCTCACATTTTGGTGTTTTTTTACACGTTTGAAAAGCCCCAATAATAATAATGTGTACTATAAATAAAATAATCTTACGCTCAACAGTTAATCCACAATCTGGAGAAAGAAATTAAAGATGTTTTTTTATTTAATCTTAGCTGCATTTCACTCTGTCATTTGCAAAGAATAAAATAATGTGCAATTCTGCTTACAATATACTTCAAATTTACACTACAGCTACAAATCCTGTTACGTTTAATTTCTGTTTCTTGAACTGTTGCTGTATTGTCGGCGTAGGTATGGTGGGCATCTCCCTGACCGCAGACTGGGGCGAGCCTGTGGACAGCACAAACCAGAGGGACATCGAGGCGGCGGACCGATACATGCAGTTCTCTCTGGGCTGGTTCGCTTCACCTGTTTTCTACGGAGATTACCCCCAGGTCATGAAGGAGTACATCGGTATGACCCACTGTCTCATCTACGGAATATGTACCACAGAATTAACATTACGGAGAAGAGTCTGGCTACAGCGCATCTTTAAACCCTAACAAATTCTAATCTAAATCAACTTAGCCACATCGCTGTTGTAAAATAATTAATTTAATTTAGTATTTGGCAATGGATACAACGTGGTGCACAACCAACGTCAAACCAGGGCCGCCAAAATAGCCAAGGCCACCACACATTACAGGAGAATTTGCCCGATTCTGGCAGCGATTTGTTTCTCATCGAGTTCGAGGAGGCATAACCCGACTTTGTGTCTTGTCAGTGTGACTCTGAGCTGCTCTGCCAGATCGTAACCACCAAACATCAGCAACGCTACGATAACAGCCGATAAAACAGAGCATCAGGGGCAGAGGAGGGATGGACACAGAGAAGCAAGATACAAACTTAGGAAATAGCAAAAATAATGAGGCGACTTTATTCCTCACCTCTCGTAAAGCTGTAAATTTAAACTGCAGCATCTCATCCAGATTATCCACAGAAATTATCCTCTGCAAACAATAACCTCCAGTCCACAAAATCACGCTATTAATCCAGTCTGAATCGTTCTTTGAAAGTAAAAAGGTGGGAGTAGTTCCTCACGTGTGTCTGTTTACATCCACACAGCGTACGGATCAAGGTGCAGCTTTATCGCCAATCTTTTATGCTTTAAAAATCACGTATCTGAAGTTTTGCTCCACATTTCACAAGTAAGAATAACACAGTTTTGGCTTGTATCTAAACCAGAAATGCAGAGCTGATCTTTTGAACACTTAAGAGTCTCAAAGTGAGTGGATCGTGCTCACAACTTTATATCCTGTAATCCTCAGACATATCTCACTGTAGTCTTTGTGATCGGAGATTTTAAGTCTTTTAAGATTCTTGTCGTGTCTGTGGTCTGCACTTTTTGTTGCACGTTTAAAAATAGTTTAAGACCGAAAAATCCTGTGGTGTGTGATGGCCTTTAGTCTGACATAGAAACTACTCTCTATGTGTGGCTGGCCAAACTAAAATCCTCCACTTATTAATTAATAGTCTTGTCACAATCCTAAGATTTTAAACTCGATTTTGTGATACCGCCTCCTTTTTAAACAGTAGTACTTTTATTATTGTTACCATGTAGTCTAAAGATCCATAAAAAAACATCCTAAAACTATTCAGGAATGGTCAAATGTGTCCTATGTATGAGATTTTCAGTAACGATACTTGTTTTAGTTTGATCAAATTGCATCAATTTTTTTACTGCTTCTGATGACCCTATTACATTACATTCATACATTGACCCTGTGTGTGAAGTGTCTTGCCTAAGGACACAACTGCAGTTTCCACAGATCAACACCAACTTTCCCTTTACAAGACCACATGAGCCACCGCCCTCCTCAAAAATTCTATTGTCACAATATTGAAATTTCAAACTCAATTTCAATACTAAGAACTTGAATCAGTATTCGATACCGATTACGAGACCACAATAAAGATAAAATTTAACTTTTTTATGTTTCCATGAGATCTTATACTAGTTCTTATAATGTTCAAAATAACACTAAAACTGTCCAAGAAAGGTTCATTTCTGTTCTGTAAAGGTGACTTTTTTAGTATCGATATCTGCTGAAATGAGTACCGTATTTTCTGCACTATACGGCGCTCTGGACTATAAAGCGCACTGTCATAGAATGGTCTATTTTTGACCTTTTTTCACACAAAAAACGCACCGGACTTTAAACGAAACACAACAGTTGTATGGGTCAATGGGGCTTTGTTTAGCGCGTTCACGGTGACTCTGGGCTTTGTTCAGTTGTGGCGTGTAGGGAGGGTGCTGTCTGGGACCAACGGATTGTCGGCGTGTTCGCAGTGACTCAGTTGTTCAGTCGTGTCTAGAAGTGGCACATTGCACTCGTTTTTTCGGTTCGTTCCTCCGTTCCGTTCCTCGTCGGCGTAGAGTGATGAGTGTGTCTGTGGGTGTGTTTCGCTGCGCGGTCCCTGTCTGCTCCGTGTGTGTTTGCGTGTTCTGCGGGTGGTGCGGCTTTGTAGTTTACTGAAGTCGCGCTGGGACACCCGAATGGATTCGTGTATAGGGCGCTCTGGATTGTGGGGCGCGCAGTCGTTTTTTGATGGGGTTGGAGCCTTAAGAGCGCGCCCTATAGCCTGGAAAATACGGTATCTAGTTTCGCTGTTAGTTTTAGTATCAATTAGCGTCTGATTCTTGATACTTTTGACAACCCAACTCAGAAATACTACGTCTGATTTCCATTGTCTCTCCAGGTCGTAAGAGCGGTCAGCAGGGCCTGGGTCTGTCCCGCCTGCCCGTGTTCACACCCCAGGAGAAGAGCTACGTCAAAGGCACCTGCGACTTCTTGGGTGTGGGGCATTTCACCACGCGCTACGTCACCCAGAGGAACCAGCCCTCCGCTCTGGGAGACAGCTACTTCACCGACCGAGACCTGGCCGAGCTGGTGGACCCTGTGTGGCCGGACCCTGGATCTGAGTGGCTCTACGCTGTGCCCTGGGGTTTCAGACGAATGCTCAACTTTATCAAGGTAATAATGTTGTAATTCGTGTTGTCAAAAATATCGAAAATCAGATACTAATCGATGCTGAAACTAGTATTAAGCTAGAGCTGCATCAGAACCTACCTGACTGAGGAACTACACAGATATAAGATCTAGCAATGTAACAATAATCAAAATATCGTGATATCATATCGTCAAAAGTCACAACAATAATATCGTGGGCTGTCACAATATATCGAATCACAAGTTCCTTTGCTTAAATGCATGGTTTTATAACAGCAACAGCTTATAAACATCAGGAACTACATATCCCATGATTCATTTCAGCACAAACAACATGAAGAAATATGTTTTTTTACTTGAATTCTTGGGATTATGATGGAAATAATTCACACCAAAATCTTGTCAAGGTATTTTAAAAGCAGAAAAGTCTCCTATCTACAATTATAAAGTATTAGCCTCTTCAAAATATCGCTATAAATATCGTACCATGAGATTTATATCATGATAATATCGTACAGAGAGATTTAGATATTGTTACATCCCTAATAAGGCCACATGGTAATAAAATAAACGAAAGTACCATGATGTAATGTTGAAAATCACATTCTATTGACTAAAGAAAGAGTATTTTTTATTATCATTGTGGTACTGGAATCGGTATTGAGTATCGAGTCCTTTTCTTTCCTTAGTATTGACCTCAAATTAGTAAAATAAATGGTAGATATACTATTGTTTCATAACAGAATAAGATAAAATAATGAAAATTGATTCATGTTTAATGTAAAGTTTGTAAATTCTTATAAGCTTCTTTTCTAGGCACAGGTAGATTTCAATTATATTAACTTTAATTATGAATCAAAAACAGTTTAAGTAACTCTAACTGGGGTAGTACTTTTCTCAGATACTTCTTTACTCTTATTCTGTACTTCTACTTGAGTTTATTTATTTTATTTATTTATGTTGCACGTATATAGCATATAAAAAGCTAGATAAAAAAGTAGGTTTGGGAAGAGGCAAAAGGGCTTATTTTAAAATCTCGACCTTATGAATACATTAAAATTGAACATTATAGCTGTGCATTATTTAAAAAATACATTTACACACCTTAGACTAAATACATTTGATTCAAACATGGATTAAAATACAATGAAACATCCACAATTGAATGAATATCAAACATTATCATGACTTATTAAACATTTCCTCAAACTCTTTTTAAACAACATTTCTGATCTGCTGTCACTAACCAGATGTGAAAACTGTCTCCAGAATTTCTGTATCGATGCAAAAAAGGGTCCTTGATGTAACACATTTTGGAACACGAAAATTACGATTTTGATGAGTATTGTATCTAATAATCTAATATAATATTATTTTGCAGAAACCTTGCTCTTACTTGGGTAAAATCTCTGGCCACTCTGTCACCTCTGACTTATTTTCCACAAACTTTACCACAAACTCCAGGCCTGTTGTATGGTTGTAGTTGCCTTTATTGATTTCCTGTTCCCCCTCAGAGTCAGTACGGAAACCCCATGGTGTACGTGACGGAGAACGGCGTCTCGGAGAAGATGATGTGCACCGACCTGTGTGACGACTGGAGAATCCACTACTACAAGGACTACATCAACGAGATGCTCAAAGGTGCTTCTCATCAGGTGTTTTTAGTCCTATAATAAATACATATATATGTGGTTATATACAGATATAATGATGCAGAGGTTTAGGCTGATTAATCATAACAGAGCATTTTTAGTACAACATAACAAGTCATACACTACCGGTCAAAAGATTTAGAACATCCTAATTTTTCCAGTTATTTATTACAATTCAAGTTGTGCAAGTCCAATGAAGAGCTTGAAATGATGCAAAGGTAAGAACTGAACAGACAGAGGTTAAAAAAAAAGATAAAAGAACAAAACACAAGATGAACTGGACAGAAGAGTGAAGAAAACTACAAGTGCCACACATTTATGGGAACTTCTGGAACAGCATTGGGAAGAACTTTCTGAAGAAAATTTTTGATTTGTATTGTAAAAAGAACGAGCCAAAAGAAAAACTTTGAAAAACTGCGGTGTTCTAAAACTTTTGACTGGTAGTGTATATAACTGTACTTTGATTTGTTATGTTAAAATAAGCATAATATAAGAAGTAAAGTTTGTTCAAAAAGATGTCGAATGTGAACTAAAGCTTGCAGTGAAGCATGTTTGGGGACAACAGTATGAGCTTGTGGTACTAGTAGGAGTAGCAGTAGTATTAAAGTATTAAACCAACCAAACCAAAGTATTTAATTTGACAACTCAATTTTCAAACTGAGTTGTCAAATTCAAATTCAAATAATAAAAGTTTATTGTCAGTTCTTCATATGAAACGATGAAGAATCTAAATTGTGTTTCCCTCTTAAGTGTATAAATAAATAATAATATTAATCAATCAATCAATGATTGATAAATAAATAATAATAAATGTGTAATATATAATGAGTAATAATAGGATAATGACTATTAAATAGGAGTATAATGAATGTGTAAGTGTTGGTAAAATTGTTAAAACTGGCTTGGCCCTATGAGTCACTTTCTTCTCATTTAAATATTTTAGTTTTGACGGGCTATTATGCAAAAAATGTTGAGCTTTCCACCATGTTATAATTATGTTCCTTCATAAAAAACAAATGCAAAACTTATAAAACAAGTTAATATTTGGATTTCAGTGAATACAATTATCCAAACAATAAAAAGTAACATGGTTATCTAAATATGTTATGTTGCAGTTAATATACTCCCTCTTTAAATGAACTTAAATACTTGTAAATAGATCATATTAATGCCTTGGATCAATATAAAATAATTAGACAAAACATGGCGTTATTTATTTAAGTGCATATAGGGTGAATATTGACTGTTTTTAATTGTATTTCTTCTCCTTTCCTCAGCTGTTAAAGATGGAGTGAACGTTAAAGGTTACACGGCCTGGTCGCTCCTGGATAACTTCGAGTGGGACGAGGGTTTTTCCGAGAGATTTGGACTTTTCTACGTCGACTTCAGCAGCAAAAATAAACCTCGTTATCCCAAAGCGTCAGTGCAGTATTACAAACGCATCATCAGCTCCAACGGCTTCCCCAACCAGAGAGAGGTGACACGAATACAGATTTAACTTTATTAAATCAGTCTGAGAGAATATTTTTGAGTAATCCATGGACATTTCTTCAGGTGGAGAGTTGGAAGAGGAAATCTAAAGAGATGTGCTCCACCAGTAATCAGTTACTGGCTGCAGGTTTGTACTGTGCCATAATTCATTTAAAGATACACTTCACTGAGCCAATTTAGCTCATTTGCTTTTGTAGAAAGGCACTTCTAGTTCCAGAAAATTGAATTCCCAAACACTTAAGTTAAATATTAAACGTAAAAAGTTTGTATGATGTAACTCAGGACCAAAAACAAAACAAGTAAATGATGACAGATAAATAAATAAGTTTCATTTATGTTCAGGAAGGATCAAATTTTGTCCTGATAATATGTTTTTTGCAGTATCAAAACTTGCTCAAATGAGTATCTAGTTTTGATATTAGTTTTAGCATCTGATTTTCAATACTTGGATTCAACCCTACTCAGAAATGTGGTCAGTAGGGCCTGGGTCTGTCCCGCCTGCCCGAGCCAATTTAGTTCATACATTTTTCATTAGGTATTTTTGTTAGAAAGGCACTTCTAGTTCAAAAAAATGTAATTTCCAAACACTTAAGTTAAACATTGAGAGTTAAAGTGTGTAAGATGTAACTCAGGACCAAAAACTAAACAGGCAAATGGCGATAAATAAATAAATAAATAAATAAGTTGCATTCACCTTATAGAATTTGGTTGGCAAATATTTAACTCTGTTCACTATTTTGAAAGATTAAGAACTTTCCACATCAGTTAACTGAGACGAGTGCGTTGGACGAGAGGGAGCAGCCCAAGAACACAGAGAAAAATCCCACACACTGTCTTACTTACAAAATGTGAGATTTATCAGGCCATACAATGTTTAGGCACTAGACCTTCGTCAGGAAAATACCTAACAGATTTGTCAAAACGTTGTATGTCCTAATAAGTTTCACTGTTTTGAAAGAAACATCCAAATTTATGTCCAGAAATATTAAACCTCATCACTGTTTGGAACTGGCTCCATAAACTTGACATATTACTTGTATGGCAACAATCGCATGTTTGTGACCACCACCACACATTGAAGCTTTTGTGAAAATATAATATTTCAGTTGACAAATTGAACAGCTTAATGTGAAGTCAAACACAAGCGTCTCTCTGGGTCCCTTTTGTGGAACAGCACAACCGTAAACAAAGTGGTCGAGATGGATGTAGACAAAGACAGACATTCTGTGTTGGCAACGATTCCCGAGATCGAGGATTTAAAGACAGAACAAAGAGAATGTTTGGTGAATTTTATCAAGGGGAAAGACGTTATTGTCCTTCTTCCTACGGGATTTGGGAAAAGCTTAATATACCAGTTATGTTATTAGGTTCTTTTTTCAGACCAAGAATTTGTTTTCATACCTGACAGTTTCGACTGCTCACTAGCGGTCTTCCTCAGAGTGGTCACGTGATGTTGCTGTGACGTGTCCGGTCAGCTGACTTAAACAGCCACCGCTCTGAGGAAGACCGCTAGTGAACAGTCGAAATTGTCAGGTATGAAAACAAACTCTCGGTCTGAAAAAAGAACCTAATAACATAAATTATCGGAAGACCAAATTAACCTCATCGGACTCTACCGGTTATCCCTGTTAGCAGCACATTACATACGTCATGACCAAATAGCAGCGATTGGTTAAATGAAAAACGTACCCGCCTACCGTCGAGCCAACGAATCATAATGCTGCGAGGTCAGACGGTTTTCCACAAAGTGAAACCTGCACTACCACCAATATAAATGTGCTGGTGTATTCTTACTGTTGTCTCTCTCTCTTCTTCTGTTTTTAGACCCTTTGATCGGCCACATGGAGCTGGTGACGGAGATAGTCGTCCCCACAGTCTGCACACTCTGTATCCTCCTCAGCGCTGTGCTCCTCATGTTCCTGTTGCGGAGGCGTTTTTAAAAAGAAAATGTATTTTAAAAAAACACAGGAACAATGTAAAGGGACTATATTACATTCACACATGTTTAACACACAAACCCTGCATATTTAGACTGAATTCTTCTCTGAAACTAATAATAAAGGATTACTCAGACATGTGTGAATGAAACAAAACACAACTCTGGTGATTTTTTTTTAAAGAGGTAACAACACAATCCATTTTGTGTAATATAGGACCTTTAACCAGTCAAAAAGGTTTACAATATTTTAGACTACTTCCTATCATGTAGAACAACCAGAAATAATAGTAGACTTACCTTAGCATTGTATATGACTTATTTGAACTTACCTGAGTGAGCTTTTTGTAATGTGATTCTGCTTTTTAAGGTGATCATTTTCAAGTTAAAACCTTACTCAGGCTTGGTAGGCTAGGTTATTGGATTAACATCACTTGTCTCATAAAAAAACACTGTTATTTGTGTTTTGTTTGTTTACTAGAAAAAGAATGGATGATTGTTGTACTTAAATAACTAATAAAGTGTACCTTAAAAATAAGCTTGCCTCTCAGATATAATGCGGTCATTGGTTTGCCTTCAAAGTCAAAGCTCTACGTTGTTGTGATTGTGTTAAAGGTCTGTCTTTTTTCTTTAGTATGATCCATAATTTATATTATGCTTCTAATATTAATATAAATTACGTTTTTGGATTATTCTTTTATTATAGAAACAGTTTTGCACATATTTGAAAGTGATATATCAAAGAAGGGTCTTATTTTGAAAAGATCTCATCTACTTCCTGTTATTGCCGGAAGTTGATGTAGTTTTGCCGCCTTCCTTGAACATTTGCCACAGCTGCTGTTACTCTTCGGTTTACAGGTAAAACTTACGCATTTTTATGCTTTAAAGTTAGATTTGATTAAATAACATCATATATTTCCCTTTCTATAGCGTGATAAGACTCTCTCAAATGTTAAGATTGGTGTTTTGAGACGTGTTAACCTAATTCCACGGTGAAATGGTGGTCAAATGCAGCAATAATTTCATTCAATAAAGGAACATTTTTACATTTTAGTGAAAACACTGCGATTCTAACTCTCATTTTGCATCATGGGTTAAGTTTGGCAACGGTATATGTGTACAATAAATATATAATATATTTTTAAGAAATGTACTTGTGGTTATTTTGTCAGCGTTATGTTTTGTGATAAATAAACAGTGTAATCTGTGTGACTTCTGTTTACTTTTAGTAGTTTTAACAGGCAGTGTCACGAACGTTTAAAAGAAAAAAATAGCTTTAGTCATAGTCGCTTGTTAGATTACTAAAGGTGAACTATGTAACTTTCCTAGTAGAAGTGTTATCGTTTGCCTGGAATGTCCCAGAATTATCCGGTATTGATCATTCCTCATCTATCTCCATGGAACAGCTGTGGAATATTTCTAACAAAGCACATAATGCAGTGACATATTTCTGTTTCAAACCCATATAGAAATAAATAGAAACAATTAAATTATTTAGTTAAATATAAAATAAAATAACCTAAATCTAATCTGATCTAAGAGAAAAAGGGAAAGATACGGACCTCTTTACTTAATTTTATTTATTTTTTATTTCATTTTATTATATATTATTATTTATTTTAATTTGTTTTTTTAATCTATCTTTATTTTTATTTAACTATATTATTTATTATACAAAACATATATGTCAATTGTAAATTGTATGAACATGATTTACATATAAATGTGTACCTTTGTGGGATTATAATTTAAAATTGTAGAAAAAATAAAACTGAACTGAAAACAGCAGGTGGTGGGTCCCCCATTAAAAAGTGCATATTACGCCTTTAAACAGACTTAAAACCAGTGGAATTAATGCATTTTCTTTCTTTTCATGGTCATGTTATATAGAATTATTTGTAAACAAACTAATATTTCCACATCTCATTCAAACTTGATTGAATGAAACTGCTTTGTTTGTTTTGCAGTGATCTCACTCTGAATCTGATCCAATGGAAGACGACGCTTTGTTTGATCAGAGCCGCATTGAGGACGAGCGTTTCGATGCTCTACCGCCTCCTCGGTCCCCGGGGGAGGACAACGCAGACCCCTTTGGTGAGAGGATCATTTTAGGATATTTTTTTGTCGTATTTATAGCATATCAGATTTATTACACATGTTATTTATTATTTTGTGCATCATAATGTGGTTGTACTTGTTGTTGTCCAGGTGATGGTGAAAATGGAGAGGTTTCTAAGCTGGCCGAGGTCCCAGAGGCGAAAAGGAAAGGGGTGAAGAGACCACAGCCCAAACTCGACTCAAACAGGTGAACACAGGAGTCCAATGGAATAGACTTAGACTTCGACACTTTATTGATCCACAAGGGAAGTTATTTGGACACAGTAGCTCACACAAATGATGATGAAAGCAAAGATGATAAAAAAAAAAAAATCTTTATAACTTCATTCTTCACTCTTATTAAATGAAACTTTATTTATTTTTGCTTCTCATTTTGGTTTAATTATTACATTTATATTCTTGCTCTTTGTTATTATAATAAATTGTGATGTGTGAGCCACTGTGCCCAAGTAATTTCCCTTGTGGATCAATAAAGTCTAAGTGTAATTAACCTTTTTTCATACAAAAAGATGCAATACAACGTTCTTTCCTGTCCATTAAAAAATGGCTCACATGCCCTGCATACAACCACCCAAGAGTATCTTTTAAACAACCTTTATCTTATTTCTATATTATGGTATATAAATGTTTACAATATTAAATCATAGGTACTTTACATGGTATTATCATCTGTTTGACTTGAAGGTGCACTGTGTAACTTTTTGGTTTAGGGGTCTGTCACCTGCTTGCTTCTACAGATATGTCATTGTTCTGCTTAAAATGTTCCACAGTATGACATTAAACAGCTCTACCTCACATTTATTCCATTACAGGTGTTTTTATAGTTCAAAAACGTAGAAAAACAGGCATTCTGACTGTGAGCGGCGTCGCCTCTCCACAGATCTGACCTGCAACTTGGTCTGGTTTGGTCTCCATGAAGATAGAAAGGTTTAATATCATACTGTGAAACTTTCCAGACAAAACAATAACATAATTTGACTGACCCTCCACCAGAAAAGTTACACAATGCACCTTTAAATACACTGTTATTTAATTCCATTCTGGTTCCTTTGTTTTAGGCTGACCTCTGAGCGAGGACTCCCAGCTCTGCGTACGCTCTTTAACAACGTGAAATTTAAAGGCAAAGGGCACGAGGTGAGCGTTTTCTACAGCACATACTGCAGTTTGAACACAGCATAACTCAAATATGTCAAGTGCTGAAAAGAAAATTGTGTTTTTAGGCGGAGGACCTGCGTTTGTTGATGAAGAGCATGGAGAACTGGGCGCACAGGCTTTTCCCTAAACTTCAGTTCGAGGATTTCATGGACAAAGTGGAACGACTCGGAGCCAAGAAGGAAGTGCAGGTCAGACAAGAGAACTTTTATAAATAAAACTCTCACTATTTAACATTGTGTATATCTATGAATATTTGTATTGTCTGATTATTTATTGGTAGAGCTGCACTATATACTGCAATCAAATCTGAATCGCAGTTTGAGTTGATATCAAATTGCAAAGGCCGCCACTATTTAGAAGATTGTTTTGCAGACATTCGAAGCATCCTCTTTTGTAAAAATCTTAAACTCTGACCAAAAACCTACTTTTTTTTAAACAGATATTGCAAAATTTCTGAATCTGTTTTTGTGTTTTGTGACAGACATGCCTGAAGAGGATAAGACTGGACATGCCATTAACACACGAAGACTACACGACACAAGAGGGTGAGATTTCTTACATTTTACCATTAACAGAATCCATCAGCATTTAAAGGTTGTATAGAGGATTTTTTTAAGGGAAGAGAAATACAGCGACAGTCCTTTTTCAAATGTTGTGCATGTGTGACACCACCTTCCTCCTTCACCGCTCCCTCAGTAGAAACACCTCCCGCCTCCTGACTCTAGAAATCACGCTTGTTTACATCCAGTGCGCGTTCAGAATTACTGTTGAAGTGACCTGTCTAGAAATAATTTAGCGACCGATGCATCAGTTTTTAGACCCTTCGTCTGATTCAGTCGTGAAATCGCTGGAAGGAATCTCCACGAATCACCTCAGATCGGCTTTGCTCCTTTTCTCCTTCTCTTCTTCTTTCAACGACCTCACAAACGGACTTTCTTTTGCGGCGAACTGGTCGTGGATTCTTGTCCGCCATCGCAACAAACTTTGTGCGAAATGTGAGGAAGCTACAGTTAGAAAAAGCCTCTATGAACCGCTGCATAAACCACGTAATCCCTGCGCGCCGGCGAGTCAGTTACACTAGAAACGGAGGGAAGTTTGATTGACAACCTAACAGACAATAGATAAAGAGGCAGCCTCGTTTTCTATTGGCTGATGTTTATCTGGCCTCAACACGTCCACAGTTGATAGGTTTTCATTCTTTTTTTTTTTTTTTTGGTCATCATAATTACAAGGTTGCTGCGTCTCTGTAATGGTATTTTAAACTTTCATTGACAATTTGAAACCAAAATAAAATCCTCCATACAACCTTTAATTATTATTGATAGAACCATAAAAATTAAACAGGAGTAAACATTATACTCTTTCTTGTGTATCTCAGGAGAGGAGGAGGTGCCCGCAGAAATGCAGATTTTTGGTGATCCTGATCCGTTTGCTGGAGAACATCTGAGCGCTTCTACTCCGCGGATGACCCACTCCACCCCAGCCCCGAGCTCCTTCACAGCCCAGAGCGTTGACCCCTTCCTGGGCTCGTCTCCCACCTCTCCGCCCTCTCCGCCCTCTCTCACCGAGGAGCAGCAGAGGAGGATGGCCGAGAACAGACTCAAGGCTCTGGAGAAGAGACTAGCGAGGCAGAAACAGCAAGCAGGTGAGAATTATATTTATCGAAACACTTTTTAAGACCATAAAAAATATATATTATTATTAGAGGGACATTTCATAAGCTGTAAAATAGAAATTGCTCTTATCAGTGTTTAATTAGTAGCATGTGCAGACCTGTTCTCCCTGTTTTGTTAATTCTTCAATCAAGTATTTCTGATCAAACCTCAAGCAGCTCAAGAGTTTGGGCTGCACTACACTCACCCACTGCTCCTGACAGATGTGACCCCAACCTTAAAAATGGGTCAAATTTCCAGGAGAGATTTTTTTTGGAAATGAAATCACATGCTCATTAGGGGTGTGCAAAAATGTTGAAATATCGATATATCGCATCGCCTAATGTGATGATACAGTATTGATATCATGGGCTGCTGTATTGATATATCGCCAAGATTATTTTTTCGTAAATTTTACTCAATTATTTTGTTACAGTTTTGTTGCTTGTTTAGAGGAAGGAAATTCGTTTATGCACATTTGACATATTTACTGTTTTGAGGATTGAAATTTGCGTGTTCTGTGAACTTTGCACAAGAAGTGATTTAAAGGGCCCATCTCATGCAAAATCAACTTTTCAGAGCTTTCTACTTTCTAAGAGTGATGTGTGGACCTAGTATATGTCGCTGAAGTAGTTTTTAGATTGACTGATTTTTTAACAAATTGCAGCGTATTTCTCTCATCCTCCCATGTGACAACGAACTAAAGCTGCTACAACGATGACGCGGCAGCTACACCTATGACGCATTTGATGTAGCAGAAAGCGCTTCACACCCGCCTCCCTTCCCGCTCCACCGCCTCCACCCTGCATCGTCTGACAATTCCCACATAAACACCTAAACAAAAGCGACAGCATAAGCTCATTGTTCTACACTACAGCGAACACGATATAAGTTTATCTATTAGTGTTTATTAATACTTTACCAATCAGTAATGTTCAGCTTATGTCGACATGGTGCTTGAGCTTCGTGCTCCTCAAAGTCCTCGTCCAACACATGCGGGTGAACGCGCTGTATCACCATGATGAATAAAAGTTTATTCCTGCCGCTATCAAGGTGCACGTCTGTCTCCCCCTCCCTCCCTGAGATGGCGGAGGAAGGGCGGCTCACTCAGAGCCTATGTCACGTTTGGAGGGCGGAGCCTGTGCTTTCTCAGGATGGACGAGGGGAGGAGCAATAGTCTGACTTTCATAGTTCCTGGTCTGTGATGCCTCCAAGAAATCAGTAAGATTTCATAACTATTGTGTAATGGATGTTCCAAAACCTAAATTGTGCTTGTTTATGTGCAGAAGATACAATGTGAAAAGAGTTATTTTGCATGAGATGGGCCCTGTAATAAGGACTTTTAGTATCACAGCCATGATTTAGACTTTATTTTTATTGAACCATATCAAATCGAAAGTGCACTCTATCGAGATATATTTCATATCGTATTGGTAACCTCTTAATGATATCCAGCCTTAATGCTCATGCACATACATTTTGAAATATTTTGAAACCTCTACAATATTCTGTAAGAGTTAATTACACTTTTATAACATATGATTTTTCTGTTTAATCTCTCAGAATCTCAGTCTTTGGAGTCTCAATCCACACAGTCCGAGCCTTCAGAGTCCCAGACCAAAGAGTCAGAGCTGGTCCCAATGGAGGAGTCCACAGAGGTCCCCCCTGAACCAGACCAGAGTCCTGACCAAGTCCAGGACATGAACAAAGACGAGACCCAAGACCAGGACCAGGACCAGGACCTAGTGACCAACAGCAGCAGTCAGCCACAAAAAACACCTCAAACCCAGGACACTGAAAACCATGTGGAGTCAACCCCAGACCCCAAAGAACCTGAGGCCAGTCCAAGTCCTGCCCCTGAACCAGAGGAAAACCGAGAAGAGGAGGGTCAAGATACTAAAGAGGAAGAGTAGTTGCATTTTATATTCAATAAGTTTAAAGTTTTTGGGAGACTCAGTACTTAATGGCTTAGTAAATGAAAGTGAAAACACAAACCTATTAACGTACAGTTTGTCCAGAATATCTATTTAAGTTCCTTTACCTTCACTTTATTGTGAAAACCCAATAAATTTACTTTTACCAACACGTTTCATTCAAAAATTCTACACTAGTTATTTGAAGTTTTGTAGTGTTGCAAAACCAAAAATAGTGGAGTGATGTTTTAATGTGTTTATAAATGATTCAACAAACTGTATTTTCTAAAAATGGTTTATTCGTCAAAATAATTTACATTTTCAAAAATGTTAAAAGCAGGTTTGGCAGCCCCATGTGACCACCAGCTGAGTATTAAGATTTACCTTTAGCTACTTTAATTCATTAAACCTCTGGTAAAAAACTAAATTAAGAAAACTTTCTGCACCCGTCAATGGAACAAAAATGTAAACATGATTCTAAGGATTAAAATGTTTGGTTTTGGTACATATACAGTAATAAAAAGTTAAAATCTTGTTTTGTTTAAAATGTTTGCGACCAAAACATCAGTGCTTAATATTGTATCATTCTGAGGTATATAGAAGCAGTAGACATTATTCTTACAGAACCTGGTTTCTATTAAAAATGTAACACATCATAGCATCAATATTTCATGTTTCAAAACTTAATACTGTATATGTTTCGAAAAAATCCTCTGAGCAAGTAATTAAAATTAATCCCAATGTTTGTCCCTTCAAACATTGGGATTCGAGGCTGGTGCCCTCTGCTGGTCAAAGTGAGCGGGTGAATCATGTCTCTTCAAAATAAAGCAAAGTTTACTTAATTTGCACTAAAGCTGCCAAAAATGCAGCAGATAATGCTACTAAAACACCACGTACAAATTTAGTTTACCTTTAGTTCAGTAAAAAGTAGCAATTCCAGGGCTGAAATCATCCAAATGATTCTAGTGAAGGTGTATGGAGTTTAAAAACAGTGAAGCACCAGTCCAATGAGGTTCATCTGGTCTTCTGATAATTTATGTTATTTTCTACTAAAATATTTTATTTATATTTTCTATTAAAATATTGGTAATTTTCTGTGGTGTTTATCACAGCAGCGTCTCTGGCGTCTCTGTACGTGGCCCCTCCCACCAGAGCAGCACAAATGAAGACTTGTCTCTTTCCAAACGCTCTTAAAGGACGATCGTTTTGACTGTTGACCGTGACACCCTCATCAGCAAAATGTCAAAAACGAGAAAAGTGGACACTGAGAGCAGGATTTTCCAAAACAAATGGACTTATTCCTATTTGCAGACAAGTTAATGTTAAAACATTGTGTTGAAATGGCATCTTTCTTAAGGTTTCAGGTTGGTCATAATATAATCTTTTATAAACGAAAGAGTCAATTAAAAAATATGTCTGCAATAGATTTGTGTTTCTCTGCACAAATATTTGAACTTATTGTTATTTATAGGGTTTATATGCCAGGAGTTTTCTGATCCGGCCCCTTTGGGATCAAAGTAGGTTGGATACGGCCCCCGGACCAAAATGAGTTTGACACCCCTGGATTAAAGAGTCAAGCGAAATACGAAAACATGCCCACGAGACTATAAACTGGGACGAGGGGGCTTTTTTACTCTCACACCTGGGATACTGTCCTGTGCAAGTCGGACTGCAGATGGCGCTGTCGTCCTGCCTCCACCAGTTAGAAGACGGCGCCAAAACATGTTTAAATCACAGGCCAGTCAAAGTCACAGCAACATCACGTGACTCTGAGAAAGACCATGAAACTGTCAGGTATGAAAACAAACTCTTAGTCTGAAAAAAGAACCTAATAACACAGTGAAGCACCTCTTCTCCACATGACATCACAGGGTGTCACAAGTTTTCTGTTTGCAGATAAAAAAAAAAAAACCTCCTAAATATGTGTGGCTTTTTAAAAAAATGTGAATGAAGCAAAACATCTCGGGGTCTGTTTTTGATGAAGAAACTTTTTAACAAATCAGAACACAGTGTAATATAGACCCACAGTTCCTCCTTAAGCCGTGGTGGCGCAGAACTTCTTGGCACTGGCCTCGTCGTCCAGCAGAGACAGCTCCCTGATCTCCTCCAGCAGAGAGTACAGGTTTGGCTGTTTGCTCTGACTGTACTGCCTCTCCTCCCGGGACAGTTTGGGTCTGAGCGAAGCCTTCTGCAGGGACTCCTCGGCCTGTCTCTGGACCTCCCGGATCAGCTGGACCTTGGACTGGGTCTGGGCCAGGTCTGGGTTCGGGGTCTCGTGAGGCGTGTCTCTGAGCACCTCCAGTTTCAGAGAGTCGGCGTGGCAACGGTTTGACTGCACCGAGATACGCACCTGAGAACGAAAAGCAGGATTTCAATTAGTATTTTCAACCAAATGGTAACTAATCACATTTATATCGCTCTTTTCTACCTTTAAGTTTTGTTTTTGTCAGTGTGGAACCAAAATGAAACCGGAATCATGAGTCAATTACAGTGCACACTACATTTGAGGCCAATAATATTTAATACAGATGGGCAGTTAAAATATAATATAATATTGTTAAAATGCAGATTTGTGTGGTCATATTGCAAGTTCTTGGGGTGTGCGAGCCAAACTTGGGCCTCTGTGGAGTCCGATATTTTAAGAAGAATCTGTTTTGTTTCTTTTATGCATTGAAAAATATTGTGAGGAGATGGGAAGGAGTCCAGTCCTGTCAAATCTGATCATAATACATTTTTATTGACAGTTTCAAATCACAAATGTACAATTTTTTTCCCCTTCGTCCTTCTTTCACTGCACATATATTATAATATCTGTCTATTATAGTATTGAAAATGTTCTTTTTTCCCCGTTATTCCATTAAGAATACAAAGTAAAATATAAAATAAAATAAAAAACAAGAAAAAACTAATATTTGAACATTTGAGTAGCAGTGGACAGGGATTGTCACTGATGTTCCTTTTTTTTTTAATGTTTGGGTGTTAACAAAGTCTTTCCATGGCTTCCAGCTTTCCTCATACCTGTTGTATTCTGATCTTTGTGTGAGTGTCAAATCTGATCATACATTTCTCTCCAGAAGAATATTTTTATGTGTAAACTGTCATTAGTCTTGTCTAGTCAATAACAGAAATGATCAGGTTGAACACTGGTGATTTTGCATTTGTACTTTGCCATGAAATATCCAAATATCATCAGCAGGAAAACACTGGTGTTGTTGCCTTCGTCTGGGAGAATCCTGTAGGTTGTTACGAGCCTCGGCCATTTGGTGTTTGATTATTAGTGCTCCTGTTGTCTCTTGTTTCTTTTGTGTGTGTGTATGTGATCAGTCTGCGAGCCTTGGACTTGGATGAGCGGGAGCAGAGACCGCCGGACGGAGACTGGGCGTCGGATCTCTCCAGAGATTGGTCAGACACCCTTCCACCCCCACCAATCCACGGATGCCACAAAAGACCCCTCTTCCGCCTGCTCGGGGCGGCTGGATCCCTGTGTGTCAGCTCACCCTTTTTGTTTGGTTGTTTTTTTTTTGTTGAGTGTCTCATTTTTTGTTAAGATGCCGGCTCTTGCCTTTTGAGAGTTGATTTCGTTGAACACCTCGTTTGCCGTACAACTTTAGTTACCATATTTTCCGCACTATTAGTTGCTCTGGATTATAAGGCGCACTGTCATTAAATGGTCTATTTTCAAACTTTTTTCACAAATAAACCGCACCGGACTTTAAAGGAAACACAACAGTGTGATGGGTGAGTGGTTTTGTTTGTTTGTGGCGTTCACGGTGACTCTGGGCTTTGTTCAGTTGTGGCGTGTAGGGAGGGTGCTGTCTGGGACCAACGGATTGTCGGCGTGTTCGCAGTGACTCAGTTGTTCAGTCGTGTCTAGAAGTGGCACATTGGACTCGCTTTTTGGGTTCATTCCTCCGTTCCGTTCCTCGTCGGCGTGGAGTGATGAGTGTGTCTGTGGGTGTGTTTCGCTGTGCGGTCGCTGTCTGCTCCGTGTGTGTTTGTGTGTTCTGCAGGTGGTGCGGCTTTGTAGTTTACTGAAGTCGTGCTGGGACACCCGAGTGGATTCGTGTATAGGGCGCTCTGGATTGCGGCGCGCGGTCGTTTTTTGATGGGGTTGGAGGCTTAAGAGCGCGTCTAATAGTGCAGAAAATACGGTAGTTTTTTTTGTTGTACTTAGTTAGGGCTCCTTAGTTTAGTAGTTTATCTTTGTTTAAATCCTTTTATTTCGCTACTACTTTTCTGTTTTTTTCCCGACACTGTAAAATAATAAATCCATAATTTTTAACATCTTTTAAAATTTTTTTTTTTTTTATTGTTACTTCCCTTCTCCCCTAACAAAGGGAACATAACAAATGGGGGCTCGTCTGGGATCTGAACCTGGAACCTCTTGCACCCCAAGCGAGAATCATACCCCTAGACTTTTCTAAGTGTGCTTTTGTAAAATGCAATGTTCAATCTATATAGACAAAAACCTACCGTATTTTCCGGGCTTTCAGACGCGCTCTTAAGCCTCTAACCCCATCAAAAAACGACCGCATGCACCACAATCCAGAGCGCCCTGTACACGAATCCACTCAGGTGTCCCAGCACGACTTCAGTAAATTACAAAGCCGCACCACCCATAGAACACGCAAACACACACGGAGCAGACAGCGACCGCACGGCGAAAAACACCCACAGACACACTCATCACTCCACGCCGACGAGGAACGGAACGAAGGAATGAACCAAAAAAGCGAGCGCGATGTGCCACTTCTAGAAACAACTGAACAACTGAGTCACTGCGAACACGCCGACAATCCGATGGTCCCAGACAGCACCTCCCTACACGCCACAACTGAACAAAGCCCAGAGTCACCATGAACACCACAAACAAACGAAACCACTGACCCATCCAACTGTTGTGTTTCCTTTAAAGTCCGGTGTGGTTTATTTGTGAAAAAAGTTAGAAAATAGACCATTTAATGACAGTGCGCCTTATAATCCAGAGCAACTAATAGCCTGGAAAATACGGTAATTGTTGTGTAATTGTTATCCATTTAAACAAAGTAAATTAACACAAAGAATCTGTACTTTATAACATTATACTTTCACAGTATGCCGACAGAAGTGGTTTCTCGATAAATGTCCCCTTATACTCACTGTGATGTGCTGGAAGAGCCTGAAGGTGGCGCTCCCGCTCACAGAGGAGGTGGTGATGTGGTCTGAGTGTCTCTTCACTGTTCCGCTGCTCCACTCGCTGAGACCGTCGGCTCCAAAGGTCAGAACCTCCCCCTCTCTGCTCCTCAGGTACACCGGGCCCTTCACTCCGTACCTGAAACACAATCATGAATACGCGTTAATGAAAAGGTTGGATGCGTTACGTTTTCTACAGGTCTTCAAAGCGACTGGGGGGAGTTTGGTTTTGTTTTCTATAGGCCTGGATTTTTTTAAAATAGAGAGATATCAGCCTGATGAGAGAAATACTGTGCCTTGTTTCATTTAGTTATTACATATTTTATTTCTTATGCCCAACGGATCTTGGAAAACAACTTATCAACATGTTTTAAAAGTTTCACTGAGTCTCCTCTTCCTTTGCTCCCAGTGTTAACCAGTGTTGGGGAGTAACAGATTACATGTACCGGAGTTACGTAATCAGAGTACAAATTATGAGTAACTGTATTCAGTTACAGTTACTGTTTCAGTGAGTGGTGATTGGATTACAGTTACTTTGTTGAAATAAATGGATTACACTTCGGTATTTTCCTGTTTTCACTTTTTGGGCTACATCCTTTTTTTTTGTAATTCCACTTATTGCTGGACACTAAACCAGGACTAAATCAGGATTGAACCAGGACTGAACCCAGGTCTAAACCAGGACTAAACCAGGACTAAAACCAGGTCTAAACCAGGACTAAAACCAGGACTAAAACCAGGTCTAAACCAGGACTAAAACCAGAACTAAAACCAGGTCTAAACCAGGTCTAAACCAGCACTAAACTAGATCTAAACCAGGTCTAAACCAGGACTAAAACCAGGTCTAAACCCAGGTCTAAAACCAGGTCTAAACCAGGTCTAAACCAGGACTAAAACCAGGTCTAAACCAGGACTAAAACCAGGTCTAAACCAGGGCTAAAACCAGGTCTAAACCAGGTCTAAACCAGGACTAAAACCAGGTCTAAAACCAGGTCTAAACCAGAACTAAAACCAGGTCTAAACTAGATCCAAACCAGGTCTAAACCAGGACTAAAACCAGGTCTAAACCAGGTCTAAACTAGATCTAAACCAGGTCTAAAACAGGACTAAAACAGGATTTAACAGGACTAAACCATGCCACACGGACGTGTCTCCTCTTCTTCTATCAATAATATTTTTATACAGTTATGTAAAGTCTGGGCTTTTTATTTTCTTTTAGCACACAAAACATCTTATGTGAAGATATCCGAGTCTTTGCATCTCTACAGCAAATCAAGTAATCCAAAGTATTCAGATTACATTACTCACTTTAAGTAATTTAATGGATCCAAACTTACTGTGGCACAAAGACGAGGAGGCCGTTGTCCCTGATGGCGTAGATCACAGCGTCAGACACGCAGCTCGGGTCAGACTCGGGGTCTCTGTCTCTGAAGAACAGGCACTGGAACAGCTCGGTGGACAACTTCTGAGCGTGTTGAGCTGCCTGAACGAGAGAACAGGGACAGAGAGAGAGAAGGAGAAAGGAGGGAGAAAGAGAGAGAGAGTTTTGATTTGGTATCACACAACCTCTTATCAAGTGGCAGAGGGCATAAGAGCTAGGCCAATACACTTTCAAACACTCGAGCACGCCAAGTGTTATTTAACTTTAGCTTTACCATCAAGACAAACTCTCCACTAGTATCTGATAGTTGTGAAGAGCTCTTATCAACTCACAGGAAATAATTAGAAAGATCTGAGTGCATAAGGTAAGGGAGGAATAACACTGGACTACTGCAAAATGTAAAAAAAATAATTAATTCTTTAAGAAAAACCATCACCGTTCTACTACCCATGAACATTCTAATTATATGTCTGTGTTTCTACGCTTTAGTGACTGGTTCAGACCCTGTTCCTGTTGTTGATGTGCTGAGTCCGTCTCTTCTAGCTCTCGGTTGGAGGCCACCGCGGAGCTGAGGCCTCGCTCCAGGTCCAGCGCCGCCATCAGGAGCCTGTGCACAATGACGTCGGCGTAACGGCGGATGGGAGACGTGAAGTGAGTGTACCGGTCCAGAGCCAGACCTGGGAGGAGAAACACGCTGTCAGTGTGTGAAGGTGAAGGTGTGGACTTCAGTGATTCCTTTTTTTTTTTTTTATACATTTTTGACTATTAAAAATACACTTCTAGAAAAACTATACAGACTCTAAAACACATTCCAAGGGACTTTTTCAAATAAAGACAGGCATTATTAAAATGTAATGTCTAATCACTCTCATCTCGAACTAGCCATATTTCAACCTTTGCTCAGATGACCAATCACAAAAATAAATATTGGGGACTACTAAATAAGTGATTGTGATTTAAGTTATTTGTTAACTGAAGGCACTATTAGTATAATATTTTGCGATAATACATTATACATAATAATACATTTGAGACAAATTCTATATTATCCATTTTCTTCCTCTTATCCGGGGTCGAGTCGCGGGGGCAGCAGTCTAAGCAGGGACTCCCAGACGTCCTTCACCCCGGACACTTCCTCCAGCTCCTTCAGGAGGACCCTAAGGCATATCCAGCAAAGAGACATAGTCCCTCCACCGTGTTCTGAATCTTCCTTGGGGCCTACATCTGGTGGGACATGCCTGGAACAGCCCCCGAGGGAGGTGCCCAGGAGGCATCTGGAACAGATGCCCGAGCCACCTCAGCTACTCCTCTCCTCCTTCTACATATCTATCTATAGTTGTTTTATTTTATTGTGCATCTCCCATATTTTATCATCAGTATTCCTGATTTTTTCTTTAATTTCCTTCCTTGCACTGTCTATTGAACTTTAGGGAATTATGCCACAGTAACTCAACAGTATAATAATAAGTTTATCCAAGTCTAAACACAGACGTTACTGTAGTGACAGACGTTACCGCAGTGGAAGTATTTTACCGCAGTGGTAGTATTTTACCGTAGTGGTAGTACTGCTCGGCGGGCACAGCTCCAGTGGAGAAGTACATGGCCTGGGACATGGCCTGAGTCGCCATCATCCTGAGCAGACGATTCACCACAGGGTCCTGAACGTCCACAGCCTGCTCCAGGGAGTCTGCAAGGGATTTATTAGACCTGAAAGACAGAGACAAGGACAGGGACTTATTAAACCTAAGAGACAGGGACAGGGACTTATTAGATCTGACACAGAGGAAAAAAAAACACTCACCAAATCATTTCAACCACAGCAGTGCATTTTACCTGTCACACCTCCTCCACCTATTCTGCATTTATCTTATTTTTAAATTTGGAATATAGCTGATACGATACATACATCGATACATAGGCCACAATATGATATGGTCTTCGATATGGTACGATTCAATACAACATATTTCAAAAGGATTCAATACGGTTCAGTAAAAAACAAAGGCTAACTCATGGCTCTGATACGAAAAGTCTGTATTAAACCACTAAGTTCATATGAAAAACACCTATTTTACTCAAAACAGTGAAAATGTCAAATGTATCGCATAAACAAGTGAACTTTCTCCAAACAAGCAACACAACTGTAGCTCTTTCACCAAATTCTGTAAAATATAACAAAAAAAAGCTCTTGGTGATATATTGATTAGGGATGAGCATGATTAGTCAACTAATCGAAAATGGATCATTAAGAATTTCATCGATTACGTTCATTTCTAATCGACAAACCAAATGTAGGTTTCTGTGCATAGAGACGAAGCTGCATCTGACAGCGCAAACACTGGAGATGCAGGCTCACAGTCCCACGTTTCGGCTCAGGCTCCTTGGAGATCACTGCACCTCTCACTGAGTGTGTTTACATGCACATGTGTATCCCGGTTTCACCATGCTGCATGTAAACGCAGTATTCTGGTTGCTGCAACATAAAGAGCTGTGCTAAACCTGCAAACATATGATCTCTGAAAACATGAATCATCTCCAACGTGACAGACTCACCATCAGCATCAACATTCCCCTGTCACAGAAAAAACACCTACATTCCACTGAGTCGTGTCCTTTAGTCCAACAAAAGCTGAACCACATCAGCGCACAAGAGCTGTTTTTTTTTTTCTCTGCTTAGTTTATACAAATTAGCCATGCAGTTTTAAGTTCAGTTTCTGTAAGACTTGTGCAAAACTGAATTAAACACATTCTAATCTCAAATGGGCTGATGTGGCTTTACAGTAGTTAAGGTTTATTTGTTGTAAAGTTGAGTTTATTTATGCAGATCAGTAATAGTAATAATAATGATGATACTTTTCATATAAAAACTTTAATAATTAATCGAAAATCGATCATTAATTCTCCTGACAATCGATTAATAAAATTTTATCAAATTCCCATCCCTAATATCGATAGAGCAGCTCACGATTGATACCGTATCATCAAATTAAATGATACAATACATCGATATTTCAATATTTTTGCACACCAATGACACAATGAAAATGAGATGAGGCTTAAGAAGGAGGTTTGGCCACATCAACAACACGTGAGAGCAAATCAAAGATGCACCTTTAACGCTGGAATAATCCATACACAGTACCTGGTGTCTATGGTGAAGCCCCGGGCCCTGGCGCTCTCCTGCAGCTGACTGAAGTGCTCTTGTCTGGGAGGGGGGTGGTGTCTGAGCAGGGCCTGGTGGGGGAAGGACTCCTGGATCTTGCGCGCCACCCAGTGGTTGGCGAAGATCATGCACTCGGCCACAGTCTCATGCACCTCCAGAGGCTGACGAGGGACCAGGGCTGTGATGTTCTTCTCTGAATCCAACTGAGCTCGGACCTGGGAAAATCAAACACGTATGTACTGCTTTTTAGGACCGTCATCGAATTCTTGTTCGACTAAAGACAAGTTCTGCTGGATAATTAGTCGACCAAAAAGTAGACATGGCAAAAGCTCTAAAAACTATTACGTATCTCTGTGTATCTGACCCAAACTGCACTCGCAAGACTAGACCAGCAGGGGGAGTTCATGCAAAAACAACTTATGCAGAAAAAAATACTGGGAAAAAGTGTATTTATATAAAATTTCTGAATCATAAATTTTGTGTTTAAGCTGTCTTTTTTTATATAAATGCCAAAAAATACCACATCCTCAGCTAGCTCACGCCTTTCTGCTGTTGTCCCATATAAATCCTTATAATCTAAATAAAATAATCAGCTATTTTGTGAAGTTATAGTGTAGTTTTATATTCTACTTTTGTACATTTATGGAGAATTGTTGAGAATTGTCGGAGCAACGTTCGTAGAAACCTCGACAAAGACGATTTTTTCAGTGTCCCCTCTTTAAATTCCAGTCTCAAGAAAAAAAAGTTCCAAACTGTATTATAAAGGGACTTTTCAAATTTATTATCTTCATTTAGTTTAGTTTATTTTTCTGTTTATAACTGATAATGATAATTTTTATGTCTTCCATACTCTATTATTAGTTTTTTACAGTTTTCATGAGCAAAAATATAGTGTTGACAAAACTTAGACGCACTATTTTTAATTAACAAATGAACACAACTAGAACTAGAATGTAACCATTGCATCGGATCAAATATTATTATTATTGATGTGTGTAGGTTATTGTGATCTGCTCCTCCTCACCTCCACTCCCTCCAGCTCAAGAGCGCCCCCTCTGTCCCTCTTTGCTCTCAGGTGTCGTGCCACATGAGTCAGAGTTTCTAAAGCCTGGTTTAGGTGGGCCAGCCTCTGACTCTGCTCCTCTGGGTCGAGCCGGGTCAGCTCCGGTACAGCGGCGTCCTCTCCGTTCAGCAGAGCCTGGGCGAGTTCATAGTGGAGCTGATAGGACGAGCGGATCAGAGTTCGCCCAAACCACACGCTCTGTACATCCAGAGACTCCGAGTCCAGCTCCCACAAAACACTCATGGCGTATCTGCAGAAACAGAGGAGTGTGGGATGTTCATGGTAACGGGACATCCAGAAGACGTCTTTAGAAAGTAATGTCTACTGGAAAACAAATGTGTCTTCCAATAAATAATGGACAAACTGTACTTGGCAAATGCACATTTTTCAACCGTTCACCATATTTTCTGGGCTATTAGACGCGCTCATAAGCCTCCAACCTCAAAAACGACTGCGTGCCCCAAAATCCAGAGCGCCCTATACACGGGTGTCCCAGCACGACTTCAGTAAACTACAAAGCCGCACCACCAGCAGAACACACAAACACACACGGAGCAGACAGAGACCGCACAGCGAAACACACCCACAGACACACTCATCACTCCACACCGACGAGGAACGGAACGGAGGAACGGAACGAAACAATGTGCCACTTCTAGACACAACAGAACAACTGAGTCACTGCGAACACGCCGACAATCCGTTGGTCCCAGACAGCACCCTCCCTACACGCCACAACTGAACAAAGCCCAGAGTCACCGTGAACGCCACAAACAAACAAAACCACTCACCCATCCAACTGTTGTGTTTCATTTAAAGTCCGGTGCGGTTTATTTGTGAAAAAAGTTCGAAAATAGACCATTTAATGACAGTGCGCCTTATAATCCAGAGCACCTAATAGCCCGAAAAATATGGTAAACTGCACTCCACATTGTGCATTTAAACAGTCTCACGCACTGCCCCTTGTTCATTCCTTTCGATTCAGAGTATATTTATCAATTGAAAGGACTAACTTCAACTGCTACTACTGCTCTGGGTTATCCAGACTGGTGCCACCTCGTGACTCTGCTCAATTTCATTTCTTTCCAGCGACTAGGTCAGGAATCAGAAAACACTAGACCAGGAGTGTCAAACTTAAATTCACAAAGGGCCAAAATTTAAAACTGGCACTAAATCATGGGCCAAACTAAATATTTATTGAAAAATTTCCACAGCATCTACATGTTTTCTATCTTCTCTTTCGAGATATATAATGTTAAACCTTTTCTTATTAAAATAAATGTTTAATAATACTTTTCTTTAAGCACTGAATCCAGAACAAGCAGAAAATAAAATAACAACAAAAATGTAAATAATAATGTATATTTGATATGATCTCGTGGGCCAAATATAATTATATTGCAGGCCAAAGTTGCCCTCCGGACCTGAGTGACATGTTTGAAAAAACCCTGGAAGTGCGAGTTCGATCACCAGCCAATCAGCGAAGAACCATATATTCAGTGTTGTCAACGATTCCCGAGATCGAGGATTTAAAGTTGGAACAAAGAAAATGTTTGGTGAATTTTATCAAGGGAAAAGATGTTATTGTCCTTCTTCCTACAGGATTTGGGAAAAGCTTAATATATCAGTTAGCCCCGTTAGCGGCGCATTACATGTGATTGGTTAAATCAAAAAAAGTACCTGCCTACCGTCGAGCAAACAAATCCTAATGCTGCAGGGTCAAACGGTTTCTACGAAGTGAAACCAGCTGATGAATCAGGCTACCGCTGGGTAAATTCTGAGCCCATTATGTCTTAGTCAAAGTAACACATTTATACAGCAAAGGTAAGGATATGGAATACATTCTAAAATAAATAATTTAGCTGTTAGAAATTCGCACCTGTCGACTCCTCCGAGCAGTGAGCAGAGGTTTGCACTCAGCACCTCAGGAAGCATGTCGTATCTGCGGTCCGCCAGGTAATACGTGGTCGCCCTGGGAGACACAGAAAAGGAAAAAAGCATAAACTGTATTAAATCTCTGTTCATAAATCTATAGTGACTTATACACACGTATATCCCCTCTCACCGTGCGCGCGCCTCCTGGTCGGTCAGGGACCCCTCTTTGACGAAGTGGGTGACGTCTGCGATGTGGACCCCCAGCTCCAGCCCCCCCTCGGGCAGACGCCGCACAGACAGAGTGTCGTCCACGTCCTCACAGCCTTTGGGGTCGATGCTGAACACCAGGTGAGTCTGCCTCAGGTCCCTGCGCGCGCTCACCTGCTCCGGGTCAGGGGTCCAGGGCCGATCAGGGGACACCACCGGCATCTCTCTCAGCTGAGGGACAGAAGATGGTGTACTTAAACATGGACGATATGGCATTTCCTTACAGCCACAGTTCTTAGTATCTTTGTATATATGATTAAACATGTTCACATAACCGACCTGTGCCTCAGAGAAAGGAGGGACACTGATGCAGTTCTCGATGAGGATGGTCTGGACCTCGGTCTCCAGTTCTCCGGCTCGGCCCAGGACTCTGACGCTGTGTCCGTTTGGATACAGAGAGGTGCTGTCCCATGAGTCGATACGCACCACCACCCTGTGATCCTACAGAGGAAAAACTGCTGATATAACTGCACGGATCCAAGTTTAGAACAAGGTACATCTGACCTATTTGTCCATAAAGTTAGAACATTTTTTAAAAACCAAAAACCCAATCTCCTACTCTGTGATAGTGGCTGCTCTTTTTTACTCTGGATGTACATTTGTAAATGATTCTTCAGCACTTTTAGCAAAGTTTTGTATGTGATATTTTAAAACTTTTAAAACTACTTGAGTAAATGAAATGCTTTTCTTTAACACAAGCATTTTTGATCCTATATCTGTACTTTTACATGCAAAATTGAGTACTTCTTCCTTCTGGATTTGAGCATAGTTTGACAGATGTTAGATAAACGTCTGACCTGTAGCGTGTCGGCCTGCTGGGTGCTGATGCGGATCTTGGGGATGCGGTGATCCCAGGGCACGGTCAGGATCTTCTGGGAGTTTCTGCTCTGACTCTGAGTCTCTCGAGGAGGAAACGTCACCACATAGTCTCTCCAGTTTCTCTGCAGGATCCCAACCACACGACCTGCACAAGAGGAGGGACATATGACAATGTACAAAGAACTGGACTCAACAAAGACTAGTACTCCTATTTCATTACTAAAATTTCACATACCACAATGATAATTAAAAACACAAATGTGAATATAATGTGATTTTCAACATAAAATAATATTACTTCTTTTCATTTCCCATGTGTTCTTATATCTGTGTAATCTCTCAGTGGTCCAGGTAGGTTCCATAGTGGAAAAGTCCAGAACGGCCGTCTGGGCTACTGGCTGTCGGCCATACTAAAAGCAAAGGGCGCTAATATGATAATTTGGCCACTTGTCAAGCATAAATTGCATAAGCTTAAAAGGCGACAAAGAAGAGTGGGTTACTTGTTGGTTTCAACACATGCCAAAGATGTCGAACAGAAAACGTAAGAAGAAAGGAGGATGGGAAAAGGTTAAAGAGCTAAGTCACTTTCAAATGAAGCAGCAAAATGCAAAAAGTTTACAGAGCTTTTTGCCGGTGTAATATATCTGTGTGGAAAAAACAGATTTAAAGTAGTAGAAATGTCATAGGTGACAATGATGACAGTAGGCATGGTAGGGCTGTTTTTTAGTCCCAGTCCGTCCCTGGTGCATAATAATTTATGTGCTCTTATACTTGATACAGCTCAAGATTATTCCAAAGCTGTTCAGGAAAGGTTCATTTCTGTCCTGTGAATGTGATTTTTTAGTATAAATACCAGCTCAAATGAGTATCCAGTTTAGATACTAGTTTTAGTATTAATTAGTAGAGGTGTAACGATATCCAAGTCTCATGAAACGATATCATCACAGTATGAACCTCATGGTGTGATATTTATTGCGATATTGTGGGAAAACTCATGATATGGTGTGGAGGCTCACGACTAGGGATGTAACAATATCCAAATCTCTCAGTATGATACGAAACATGTTGGCTTTGGCCATTCAAATAAAGGCCTTTTAACTATATTTTTTATAGTATATCTTTTAACTATACAAATAAACTTGCCTTGCCTATATTTTTCCTCATGCGATGTGTTAACTTTTCCTACTGTTCTGAAGTGCCTGGAGTCCGTTGTGTTTGAGTTTTGATCCTTTTTTCCAAGAGCACCCTCTACTTGCTCCTACTGATTGGAACACCTGCAGCAAACAGCCACATTTTTGTTCTTTCTCTCAGTATGATATTTTGATGATATACATCTCATGGCATGATATTTACTGTGATATTTTGTGGAGGCTAAACAAAACTGTTAACATACAACTTTGTCCTCTTAAAATGCCTTGACAAGACTTAATCCAAAGAACTAAGACTTAAAAGTGTTTAGAACTGTTATTTCTTCTTGTAGTCTACACTGAAATGGAGCAAAGGATCATGGTCTATGTAGTTCCCTCTGTCTTTTTTTTTTTAGCTATTGCTGCACCATAACTATGTATTTAAGCAAAGAAACTTGTAATTCGATATATTGTGATGGTCCACGATATTATTGTGAGAACTTTGACGATATGATATCACAATATTTTGGTTGTTGTTACATCCCTATGAATTAGTATCTGATTTTTAACCGTGTATTCACTGTGTGTGTCTGTGTTTGAGCATAGAGTTGCACTGAATCTCCATTAAACCAATTAAGTTTTTTGTTTTTTTTTGTATCGAACTTATCGCAATCACTTGATTATAGAAATACAACCAACAGTTTTTCCGTTAGTCACTCTCGCCATTTTCACACCTAAACCATGACACAAATTAATTACAGACTCTTAACCCATTGCATAGAGTACAGATGATATTTTGTTTACCAGTGGGCATAGGTTGGCTGCTCTGGTCGTCCGTGCCCTTCTCTTCTCCCTGGACTTCGGTCAGAGCTGTGGCCCTTCCTCTCCACTCACTGTGAGGCAGCAGCTCCACCACCACGCTGTCCCCGTGCACCGCCCGGTTACGATTCTTACCCCCGAACACCAGAACGTCCCGGCTCTGGTCTGAAAAGAAAAAAAAAAAGTCAAGTTTATTTATTTAGCTCATTTTTAAAAACATTAGTGTATTAACATGATTCATATGCAGAACTTTTAACAGGCTAAGGGCTAAGCTGTGTTGTTAAAGTACATTGTGTGACTTTTCTCCATGGAGATGTTACTGCTTTGTCTGGAATGTTTCCCAGTATGGCATTAAGCCTTTCTATCTTCATGGAGACCAAACCAGATCAAGCTACAGGTCAGATGTGTGGAGAGGCGACCCCGCTCACAGTCAGAATGTCTCTTTTTCTAGGCATTTTTGAGTTATAATTGAGCTGTAATTGAATAAATGTAAGGTAGAGCTGTTTAATGTCATACTGTGGAATATTCCAGGCAGAGCAATGACATATCCATGGCAACAAGACAATAAGGGACCCCTAACCGAAAAATTACACAATGAATTTAATCAAAGAGGCGTAACATATTTATATTTCTATAAGCTACTGTATGTATTAACACGTTTTATAAGTTTCAAATTCGTTTTTTGGTATTCTGAGTTTCCCCTCCCTTCGCTCTCTGCGCTAAGTCACTCCTCCTTCAGAGCGCTGTCACAACACAGTCATCCACTAATGAAACTACTGCACATCGCATCAGGTTTATCAAGTTGCTGTGCTTCGTTTTGTATCTTGCTTTTGTAAATTTATGGAGAATTGTTGTGTGGACTGTACTGAATATGGCCTGGGAGAGATCACTAGATTACTCAAACATGCATTGACGACATCTAAAACCTCTTCAGGTATGTTTTTGATGAGAGAAAGTCATAACATGGTGGAAATCTCCAGTACATTTTGCATAATACCCCCCTTCTCAACCTCTCTCTCAACCTCCTTTTTATATTCAATTGTATTTTGTATAATAAAAAACACTGAATTTTCACGTTGATGAGGCATAGCGCTGTACCTGTGCTCTTGTTGGAGAAGCCCTGTGTGGTGACCAACGCCTCCTGCTGGGCTCGGTGCTTATTCACGCTGAGAATACCCTGAAAACAAAAACGGTCAAACAAAAACCTGCTATTATTACTGACCCAGTACAGATACTTTGTTGTATAAGCGGCTCTTGAGGTCAAAATAAGTCTGCTGTGTTCTGCTTGCATCTAAGTAGCAGCGTTTCATTGTCAAATAATCAGCAAGAAGTGCGCTGTCAGCATTCTAGTTGTTGTTTTCTTATACGCAATCACGGCAAAATTAAAATCCAGTCTCTGAAAGTTCTGAAAAGTGCTCATAAACTCAAAATAATTATGATGTTCTGAATGCACAATAACCAGTGTTGGGGAGTAACAGATTACATGTCCCATAGTTACGTAATCAGAGTACAAATTATGAGTAACTGTATTCAGTTACAGTTACTGTTTCAGTGAGTGGTAACTGGATTACAGATACTTTGTTGAAATAAATGGATTACACGGCGGGATTTTCCTGTTTTCACATTTGGGGCTATACCCCCCCCCCCTTTTTTTTTTTTCTTTTTTTTTCCACTTCCACTTTTTAATTCCACTCATTGCCGGATACTAAACCAGGTCTAAACCCAGGTCTAAAACCAGGTCTAAACTAGGACTAAACCAAGACTAAACCAGGACTAAACCAGGACTAAAACCAGGTCTAAACCATGTCTAAAAGAGGATTTAACAGGACTAAACCAGGACAAAACCAGGTCTAACACAGGATTTAACAGGACTAAACCAGGACTAAACCAGGACGAAACTAGGTCTAAAACAGGTCTAAAACAGGATTTAACAGGACTAACTCATGCTGCGCGGACCATGTCTCCTCCTCTTCTATCAATAATATTTTAATACGGTTAAGTAAAGCCCTTTCATTTTCTTTTATCACACAAAACATCTTATGTGAAGATTTCCTCATCTTTGCTTCTCTACAGCAAATCAAGTAATCCAAAGTATTCAGATTACATTACTCACTTGAAGTAATTTAATGGATTACGTTACAAACTACATTTTGGGGTGTGTAATCTGTAATCTGTAGGGGAATACAATTTAAAAGTCACCTTTCCAACACTGATAATAACTGCAAAACGTTTAAAATGAACTACTTTACATTTTTTTAGATAGTAAAAATCAAGATTCCGTACCTGCGTGTATCTCCCAGACTTGATCCCGGCTTCCAGGATCTCGGCGGGCAGGTGCTCCTGGTACTCCCGCTCCGACCCCTCGCTCTCCCTCTCCTGCACAGCCTGGACGATGGAGCTGTACAGTTCATGGGCGGCGCTCACGTCCGACCAAAAGTTATGCAGATATTCCTGAAAAATGCATGAGCAAATTTCAATTTTACCGTCTGGCACTTTTAGACTTTAAATTAATGTAAAAAATTTAAAGCAGCGGAGAGGGAGTGCAGAGGGAGTGTATGCACAGATCTTTCTATAACCTTACCTAAAAATAGAATGAACTTAAAAAAGAAAATATTACAAACACATTTTAACACTTTAAGGCTGTAAATAGTGTTGTTATTATAGTGCTATTAAAGGTGCACTGTGTAACTTGCTCGTCTCCATGGAGATGTGCCAAGAATGTTCCACGGTATGGCCATAAACTCATGAATTTCCATTACAGATTAGATTTATGGAGAGGCGAGCCCACCCGCAGTAAGATTTAATGTTTTTTTAAGATATTTAAATTTTTAAGCAATAAATAAGACCTGCAGTTGAATAAATGGAAAACGCCATAATGTGGATGATTTAAAGCAAAGCATTAACATTTCCACGGAGACAAACAGGTTACAACAGGTTGAAAAATTACACAGTGCACCTTTAATAGAGCATGAGAAAAGACTTAATTTATAGTAGATCTGAACAATAGGGGAAAATATTGAATTGGGATTTTTCTGACAAGCATACCCACATTTTTCAATTTCCAAGTTAAGAAAATGCATAATTATTAGAGGTGTGCAAAAATATCGAAATATTGATATATTGTGTCGTTTAATTTGATGATTAGGGCTGGGTATCATTAAGGAGTTGCCGATACGATGCATACCTCGATACACAGGCCACGATACGATACATATCTCGATACAGTGCACTTTCGATTCGATATGATATATTTCAAATCGATTCGATACGGTTCAATAAAAAAATAAAGGCTAAATCGTGGCTGTGATACTAAAAGGCTTTGTTAAATTACATCTTGTGCAAAGTTCATATGAAACACAAACATTTTAATCCTCAAAACAGCAAAAATGTCAAATGTGTCGCATAAATGAGCTTCCTTTCACTCCACAAGCAACAAAACTGTAGCACTGTAACAAAATAATTTAGTAAAACACACCTAAAAATACTCTTGGTGAAATATCGATACAGCAGCCAACGATATCGATACTGTATCATCACATTAAATGATACGATATGTCGATATTCTGATATTTTTGCACACCCCTAGTGATGATACTAGCTCCTCCTATAGCTATATACATGCGTGCAAGCCTCCAACTACAGATGACTGTGATTGGAGGATTCAATGTAAGATGGCACCTGGAGCCCCTCCTGCTGATTGGTGAAAGCAGTGACACCTGGCCAGTCCTGGGCCTACATCCGGAGGACCGGCCCTATAAAAGAACCCGCCCCCTTCCACTCAGGGCAGCTGTTCTGTCTGTGGACTTGCCTGTTACCTTTGTGTCTCTCGTGGTGTATTTTGTTGAGACACTAGAGTCCTTGTGACTTAGACTGGTTTTGTTTTTCTGTTTCATTTTGTATACCCTGTTTTGGATAGCCTACTTTTAGTTATACATTTTGCAATTTAATTCGTATAAATATCATTATTTTGTTAGTTTTACCTTACTATTCTTTCTAAATAAATCACAACTTTAGTTTTACCATTTTAAAATCTTGGTTATTTTGTTAACAAGTATCGATATCATGGGCTGCTGTATTGATATATCGCCAAGAGTATTTTTTGGTATATTTTACTAAATAATTTTATTACAACGCTACAGTTTTGTTGCTTGTTTAGAGGAAGGAAACTTGTTTATGTGACACATTTGACATTTTCACTGTTTTGATAATTAAAATTGGCATGTTTCATATTCACTTTGCACAAGAAGTGATTTAACAAAGACTTTTCGCATCACAGCCATGATTTTATTGAACCATATTGAATCGATTTGAAATACATATTGAATCGAAAGCTCACTGTATCATATCGGCAACGTCTTAATGATACCCAGCCCTAAAAATTATGTTGTATAATACTGCTACATTAAAAGGGCAATATGTCGTAGCTGTTGTTGTTGTTTATATATTTATTTTGGGCAATTGGAACATATAACATTAGTGAAATCATAACAGAAATAACCACAACAAAAAATTTACCCAAAAGGGAATGGAAAGAAGAAAACTTATTTAACCCCACCTCACAGTTTTTAGGTGAAATATTCCACAAAATGTCACAAAAAAAAGAAGCCAATGTGATTTTTGGAACTAAAAACGCCTTGAATTAATAGCTACAAGATAGATAAGTTCATACTGTGGAACATTTTAGCAATACAAATTTTCACAAGACAAGCCGGTGACTCCACTCCCCTCCACTTGAAATGTTACACAGTGCAGCTTTAAGTTTAGTGTTAAATTAGAATCTAGATATTGTATGTGCTTTATAATGGAAGTCTTTGGTCGTTCAGAATACAGTGAATATAAGCCCGTCGTATATCTCCAGTGGTGCACAGTATGAAGCGCGTAGTTAATATTTTATATCGAATTCATTTTGCCTTTAGAAGTGTCCGAGTCACAACTCAGACGCTCGTGGTTCTATCTGGACACACGGCGCGCGTTCATAATATAGAGACATACCTGACCCAATCTGAAATACATCTACAATCACATACCTTGTTGGTGACTGCTCTAACTTTGGATATTTTTGTAATTATCCAGTCATAATATAAATTAAAATAACTGAAAATAATAATGTAGTGTTGTCATTATACTAAAATTTTCAACTAGATTTCGGTACTAAGGAATAGACTTGCCACAATTACCACAATGATAATAAAAAAACATGAAATCATAGTACTTTATATTTCCATGTGGTCTTATGTCTGTGTAATCCCTCAGTGGTCTCCTGTCCCAGCAGATTTATACAGATTTTAAACCAGTGATTTGGCTCAGTTTTATGCAAGAAATGTCCCAGGTGTCCCTATTTTTGACCAATTTGAAACCTGTTAACGGTAAAGAGACGCATACATTGTCATTTGTTAAGGTAAAATACAGCAAAGTGGTTTAAAAATGACAAAAACACAAAGAAAATATGACTATACTGACAACAATTTTTTCCTTAATTAATTAATTACTCACTCGTTTTATTATTATCCACCAACCATGTTCGTATTTGAGTCGTTTTCGTTGTGGATGCAGTATTCGTTCACACTTATCCGATTGAAAACGGCTCCAGAGACGGAACGATCTGGTGTCATCAGCTCCCACAAATTAATCTAAGTACAGATCTGATCAGGCGCTGTGTGGACGCCTGAAAATACTGATACGCTGATGTAGGTCTATGCACCGCGAAGTAATTCACTGCCAAAACGCTAAGAGGCTAGAATATATGTCCATTTATCTATACGGTCTGTGTGTACGACCTGCAGACGTATAATCTCTGAAAGGTTTCACATGAACCATCTCCAAAGCGACAGAAACACAGAACAGACTCACCATCAGCAGAACATCCCTCTGTCATAGAAAAAAACATTTAATCCACTGAGTCGTGTCCTTTAGTCCAACAGAAGCTGAACCACATCAGTGCACAATAGCGAGCTGTGTTTTGAGCGCTCAATTTATGCAAATGAGCCATGCGGTTTTAAGTTTCGTTTCTGTAAAATGTAAACAAATGTGCTCAAAGCTGTGTGGATAGGGAAAGCTTGCGGACACAGAAACAACATGTCTGGACGCAGATTGTTTCCGATACAGTGATACACGGATTCGTTTCAGTGTAAACTTAGTCTTATACTTGTTCTGACACAACTCAAGATCATTCTAAAGCTATTCAAAAAGTTAATTTCTGTCCTGTGAATGTGACTTTTTAGTATCGACACCTGCTCAAATGAATATCTAGTTTCAGTATTACTATTTAGCATCGATTAATATCTGATTTTCAATACTTTTAAGAACATGACATTCAACACATCTATATTTCTTGATTCATTTATAGGTGTTTTTATCGTATGTTTAATGCCATACTGTAAAACATTCTAGGCAAAGCATTTACTTCTCCATGGAGATAAGCAGGTGGCACACCCTCTGGAAAGGTTACACAGTGTAACTTTAGGTGCCAGATTAATCGCACAAACCAAAATTGCAATTTGAACAGACACAACAGGCTCTGTGCGCAATGGGCTCTATTCACGTTTACGTCACAAAACCGGAAAACTCTGACAAAATCTGAAAAAAACTAACTTAATGGCCTGGTTTTCTTCATCTAGAAGTCATTGTATTCTTTTTTCCTTTAATATTGCCTATTCATTCACTTCCGAAGCCCGTTTTCCACTTCCAACAACCACACAATTACAAAGTCCGAATCCCAAAACTAAAATATGACAGTATCAGAACCAGAAACAAAAACGATATGGTTCAAAAGGCTTGACAAGATCGTCAATAGACGCATCCCGGAAGTCCGAAATTCGGGATGCATGTATTGGTAAATCGCAAAGACTGATCTAAAGTAAATTTCCTTCACTTTTTTTTTCCCATTTTGATTTTCAGTGTCTGCTCATTTTTTGTAATAAACCACTCAAATTTTGCACTTCTTCAAAACAACATTCACAATATTCACAATTTGGACTTAAAATTCAGATTTTCCTTTTTTCCGTCAGCTCCTTTCACCTGGTGTATATTTGCTGTCAAAGCGCTCGCTGCAGAGATAGGGGTTCAGCCTAAAGCGGAGTATGCTAATGTAATACAATTATAAGAGTACAGTATTATTTCAGCAGTCTAAGCAATCCAGGCCACAGCGCTGAATTAAACTAAGGACCATCCTCTGATAAATTATGTATAAACACAAACAAAGGAGAGAGCCTTTTGCAAACTTAACACTCAACACACTTGGGATAATAAGAAGCCAGTTGTTCAGTGTTTTGTCCTGAACTAATTTCAAATAATAATGCGAAAAAGTATTGAATCTACAATGAGAATATGTAATCGAAAAACACACTGACAAAACTGTGATGAAATTGAAATTGTGACCGGGACTCTCATAAAATCAAGATGTGATTTCTAAAGGCTGAATCTGAAATCACAGACAGCGGTAAGAACAATGT